AATAGCTAAAACATGGAAACAGCACATTTGCCCATCAGTTGGAAACTGGATAAAGAAGATGGATGTGGTTTTTCTATAAAATGGAATACTACTCAGCCATAAAGAATGAGAAAATAGATTCATTCATAGGAAAATGGATACATATTGAAGATATACTCCTAAGTGAAATAAATAAATCACACATGTGTAAATACTGAATAGTTTCCCTGGTGTGAATAATCTGCAACAATGCATAAGATTCTAATAAGATTACTGACATTTAGAAATGGGAAGAAAGGAGCTAAAGGTGTAGGGAAGGTGGGATGGGTAGGGGAAGAGTAAAAAGGGAAAAGAAAAAAATGTGAGACAATGAAAAGATGAAAATAAAGTGTTTGTAGATGGGGAGGGGAGGAGGGGGTGAAGGGAGGGCAGAGGTAAGGGGAAAAAATGACAATCAAGACTTGTCATGTAGAGGAACAAGATCCCAACAATGAATGTAACTGTACTGTAACCCTAAAATGTACCAATAAACTCAATTAAAGCTGAAAAAAAAGTCATTTCTATTTATGTATTATCAAAAATACTTAGGAAGTGAGTATTACAGTACAATAAAAACTACAAAAGGCTGATGAAATTAAAAATACTTAAATAGAAGTACATCTCATAATCATAGTTCATGATAAGACTAAATATTAAGAGATTAAAAGCAATCTGCAGACCAAACAAAATCCCAGGGATATTTGTTGCATAAAGTCTATGTGTTTGAGAACCAGAAGGCCAAAGATCCAGAAGCTTTGATTCTGATTTCCAAAGACAGATGCTTTAGCTGGGAGGAAGGGAGAATGGAAAGGGGGAGGGAGAAAGGAAGAGAGAGGGAGAGAGGAGGGGGATGAAAAGAAGAGGGAGGGAGAGAGGAAAGGAGGGAGAAAAGGAGAGGGAGGAATGGGGAGGGAAAGAAAGAGAGAGAGAGAGACAGACAGACAGACAGACAGACAGACAGGGAGATTTGCTCTTCAAGCACAGTTTTGTTCATTCTAGCCAATCCAGGTTGGTGAGAGGAGATCTTCTTTACTAGATTTATCATTCAATGCTAATCTATCCTGGAAGACCTTCTCTGACTTACCCAGAAAAAATTTCACCAGCCATCTGGCATTCCTTAGCCCAGTCAGGCTGACACAAAATTAACCATCACATAAATTTCTGTGGAAGGATGAAAGGATACACAAAATACAGTATATACATACAATAGTATATCATTCAGCCTTAAAAAGGAAGAAAATTCTATCATATATTACAACACAGACAAACCCTGAAGAATTATGCTAAGTGTAATAAGCCATTCACAAGAAGATAAATAAATACCACATGATCCCTTTTATATGAAGTATCCTCACCAGTTCAATTCACGAAAACCAAAAAAATTGTGGTTACCTGAGATTTTGGGGTAAAGGGAAGGAAAAGCTGTTTAGTTGTGGAAAAGTTCTGGAGATCTGTTTTACAACAATGTGAATATACTTAAGACTACTAAATTATACTTAAAATGGTTAAGATGATTACAATTTTTCACCACAATAAAACTGCATTTAAAAATAAAAATAAAACTCTAGTTCCTATAAATATTAACTGGGGAATTTTACAAGATAATTTCTAACATGAGACCTCTGGGTCAGTGAGGACTGGAGAACTTGCTGTGCCTCTTCCCTACTCTCCTTTTCTTCCATCCTATGAGAGAAGGGCAGAGAGGATATGGGCCAGAAAAAGCACCTGTCTCGCCAATCTGCAACCTCTCCATCTCCCTGCACAGCTCTGCCACCAACTCAGCCACCTCTGAGGTACACAGAGCCAGTTTCTCAACTCAGCTACTATCACCTTTACCCCCACAGATCCAATGAGCATCTGAAATGAACAGACATTTCTCAGACAAAAAAGTAGAAATAGCAAATAAACATATGAAAAAATGTTCAATATCACTGCTCATTCGAGAGATGCAAATGAAAACAATGCTGAGATTGCACCTCACCCCAGAAAGAACGGCTACTATCATTAAATCAACCAAAAACAAATGCTGGCAGGGCCGCAGGGAAAGAGGATCCCTGCTCCACTGGGGGTGGGAGTGTAGACTCGTGCAATCACTGTGGAAATCAGTATGGAGATACCTCAAAGAACTAGGATTAGAGGTCCCATTGGACCCAGTTACTCCCTTGCTGGGTATCTTTCCAAAAGAACTAAAAGAATCATACCATAGTGATATATGTGCAACCATGTTCATAGCAGCACAGTTTATAATAGCTAAAACTTGGAAACAGCCCTGCTGCCCATCGACTGGAGACTGAATAAAGAAAATGTGTTTTTTAAATATAAAATGGAGTACTACTCAGCCATAAAAATAAGAAATTAGAAGCACTTATGGATGCACATTGAGGTGATACTCTTAAGTGAAATAAACAGCACACACATATGTGTAAATACAAAATAGTTTCTCTAGTGTGAGAAACTGAAAGTGTAAATAAGGACTAAAAGGTATAACAGATAATGTGAAATCGGAAGAAAAGGGGCAAAGGGGAAGGGGAAATGGGCAGTGTAGGGGAAAGGAAAGGAAACAATATGAGAAAATAAAAAATATAAACAAAGTCTTTGTAAACAGGAAGGGATGGAGGGGTTGAAGGGAGGGCAGGGGAATGGGGAGAAAAATAAAAACCAAGACAGATTATGTAAAGATGCAAATTTCCAATGATGAATGTCGTTAATACTATATACCTTAAATGTGCCAATAAAATTAATTTAAAAAACTATTAATTAACTCTCTGGAGTAGGCCCCTGACTGCAGTCTGCCCTTCACCGACCCTTCTCAGCTCAAATCACCTATATTGAAACTTCACTGGTTCTCCCCTGGTCACAGATAGCTCTTCAGAGGGAAATATCACAAGCAGGTATGTTAGGTAGAAATTAATAGGCAATCAGACAAGGACAGGCCTTTGAGGAAGTCAGTAAAGATGAAAACATATCAAAACTGTTGTTGGAGGCACATGAAGGCAAGGCCTTGAGATTAAAGTCACAATCGCCAGATGTGCATACTTCCCTAAGGGATGAATAAAAATTTGAGATTATTCTGTATTGGTACCACTCAGCCCATTAAGTCAAGATATGCATCAGATGGGTGACCAGAACACGTGGACCCATCCTTTTCCAAAAATGTTCCCGTTTTTTTTTTTTTTTTGACAGTTTCATATTTATTAAAATGTTCCTATTTTATAAGTCACAGATAAGCCACGGTTAATGATGCCAGCCATATACTACTGTTAGGTGTACTGCTTCCCTACTGAATCAATATTAGCTAAGAGGCCACACTTGTAATCTTATTGGTTGATTACAGTTTGGCCAATATTGCACGCACCTCATGATTCTGCTCTATAAAACATTCGTGGAGAAATGACCTTGGTAGCAATCAACTTGGGTGGGACCCCTCTTGTTTCTCAGGAGCTATTCCTATTCCCCAATAAACCTTTCCTAGTCTTAAAAAAAAAAAAAAAGAGTACATAAATTCTAGCTTATTGTAAGTCTTCTTTATTTATAGTACAAGTCTCTAAAAGGTCAAGGCAGTTGTTTTTTAAATAACATGTCAAATATATAAAACAGTTGGAACCAAAGAAAAGAAATATATACATTATTATACAGTAAGTACTTTCAGTATTGTTAATTGAGCTTTTCATATTAAATTAAAAGACTATTGATTTACAATGCTATTTCTCTAGTTTAAAATTTAACCTGTCAAAAGACATAATAATGTACAACTTCTTATAAAACTGAAAGCAGTATTACTAAAAAACTGCTCATGATTGCGGTTTTTATTTTTTGTATAATACACTGCACCGTGTTACAAAAAACAAACAAAAAAGGCATTGCACTAAATGTTTTGAATACTGCATAAGTCAGTGTGTTAACACTTAAGGAATGAGTGGCCTGATGTTTCACCATCAGGCTCATTCATAGTAGTTTCCACCTATCAAGCTAAGCCAACTTTCTACAAGTAGATTACTTTCCTTGGCAGTTTTATAAAAACCCACTGCTAATGGGTAAAATGCAAAGAAACTGATGGCCACAAAGCCATCACAAAAGCCAATGCTAGTATGACCCTACAATTTACAACACACAGTAAAAGCCTAAACTAGAATACCATTCACTGCTAAATCAAGAGAAAAAAATTATAAAGACATTCTGTAGGAAATTCTGAGTATCTATGAAATTAAAGTATGTAATAGGCTACAAAAGGGCTTATAACAGCTTATTCTCCTTATTTATCTTGGGCTAAGATAAGAGTAAACCCTGCTTATTTTTTAAACAAATTTTGATGGCATCAAAAAGTTTCACTTTTACAAATAACATGTTTATACAAAGCAACATATTGACATAGTTTCCTTGTGCTACTATAATTTTCAGAATTCATACTATATTCTAAAGAATAAAGTATTAAGTTTTCATCTTCAGTCATAATTTATTAGCATTAATATTCTCTAGGTCTTGAAAGGTAATTCAAGAGATGAAAATAGTCATTTAATGTTTAAATTGAATAGCATGATATTTGAAATACCTTATACCTAAGCAGTGACCTCAACAAGAGTACTACTCAAAATAAAGAGTAAAATTTTGTATCTGCTCATTAATTTGGCCCTGACATTAAGTTTAAAGGACAGGTTATCCTTGAAAAGAAGCAATTCTTTTTTCAGAATGCTCAACCATGAAATTACCAAAGAGGCAACAGACTCTAAAAACCTATTTTTCAATTATGGGGAAGGAAAAAGAAACCAACAAACCATATTATTGTCAAGAACTATTCTCACAAAGCTTTCCAATTATGCACATGGCACTGAAACTAAAAAGAAACCACCTGATTACAGCTGTGGGTAGGGGGACATCTACTTCTAGAGGAAATGAATGGGAAAAGTAACTCTAAGGGGCTGGGGATTTAGCTCAGTGGTGCTGCTACCTGCCTCACAAGGTCCTAGTTTGATCCCTGGTACAAAAAAAAAAAAAAGAAACTCTAAGGATCCCCAACAGGGAAAAAAAAAAAAAAAATGAAAAGACAATAAAACAGTGTCAGCATTGAAATTCAAACACAATCAATTGATCCTAGACATGTAAAAAGTTAATAATGTTCTAACCAGCTTTCACCTCTCTCTTTGACATCCAAACTAAAGTCAGTGTTCTGTGTATCCTCAAAAGGCATATAAGGGGTGGGGTGCGGCAATCAGATCCATCTTAAATCCTTAGCCAACTTGCCTCAGTTCAAAATTAATCATGTTTTTAATAAGCAACAAATACCAAAACACTGCCTTCATCCTTGAAAGCAAACTTTCTAAAATGTTCCTGTATCTGTACTCATTATGCAGTGTAACAAAACTCATCCAAATAAAGTGATAATTAACATGCTATTATTGGAAGTCTGAAAAGAATAGAATCCTTAAAACTTAAAACTATGAATCCCCCAAATCAGTCATTACAGAAAGAAGCCAATATGAAATATTGTGAGGTTAAATAGTATTTCCTCAAAATCAGTACTTCCTTCTAAGCACTTTCTAAAGCAAATACAATTGCTGACTACTAAGCAAGAAGTTCCTTACTATATGTAACTTCCTCTCAGCAGGTCTCAGTAACCGAAATGAGAATTTAGAAAATAGGACTGTCCACATTAGAAATAAATGGCATTTCAACTGGTTAGACTGAAGGACATTTACCCTATAAAAAAACCAATCAAGTGCTTTCTCTCTCAATTTCTTGGGTTAGGTCTAGTTTAATTTTTACACCAGAATCCTTCATTAATAATTCTTCCTTTAGGGTTTCAGTGATTGCAGACTCAATTACCAATGAGTCATTTACTATGTCTCCCTGGAAAGGTGAGGGGGAACCTAGAATATGAGCATATACAGAGAAGGATAGTGTAACATAACTACATAAAGAGTTTTAAACAAGCTTTAAAATGCTGCAAAAAGGGAGAGGGACTTAAAGTTAATGAATCTAGCTTCTTGCACCCACAGAGAAGACAGAATTTTGAAATAACAAACACATTTAAAAAAATGAGCTGGGAAAATATAGAACATAGCAGAATTCTCAATTTAAGTTAAATTATTCAATAAAACAATAAATGCCAACCTGTTTAACTGACCATTAATGGAATAAATCAGAATGTTTCTGTAAGTTGTAGAAATCCTGATAATAAGTAACATTATTACATATGAATCAAAGAACAAACTCAGCAGCCCCACAAATGCTTTAAGTAAAAACAATGTCTTAAACACTGTAGTCACAATCTATAAGATATGTATGGTTTTCTTCTCCAAACACTTAAATTAGCAAATACGACATCACATGTCTACTGAACTCGAACTTCAGCCCTTTGAAATTGATCTATATTTTTAGCCTAACTGAGAAAATGTTCATGCAACTTTCCAATCTACAGATAATTCACAGGTATCTAAAACCAAAGTGCAAAAATCATGGAGTTTTTTACCCTTCAATTACAGACAGTCTTTAAACCACAGAACTGAAAGGACTTTTCCACACAGTGGTGAATGTGATGAAGAAATAAACATGTATCTTATTTTTGGTCTTCTGTTTTTGTTCTCTTTCCTTCATAGTCCATTTCAAAATATGGATTTAATTTCAGCAATTCAGATCCAGTCCTGTCCAGTGGTCTGGTACCATAAGGAAATACTTGTCCATTGCTTCACAAAACCTAGTCCTATACAACTCTGGAGAGACCACAGTTGGCATTTTACCTAAAATTATGAAAAGGAAAAAGGAGGAAAGCTGTTATATATGTAACTGATTGGGCAACTAACTTCACCCATGTTTCTTCATATAAACTACCATAAAGATACATACAGCACATAGTCTAAAGGAGGGAAGGTTATCTGCTGTGCCACCTGCTATGGACAGTACCCTCCCTGCTATCAGTTTTTATGTCAAAAGAGGGGCTACTGCCTAGATATAAGAGATGTCTAAAGACATAACTGAAGCAAGTAATGTTTATTAGAGAACTAAGAAGATATCAGATATTACTCTACAACAAACTCTTACTCAGAACCTGATTTTTTTCTTCTAACTTCTTATTTTGGGAACTAGCACTCTAACACAAATTTAAACCCTGTATTTCCCTACGTACACAATTTTCCTTATTGTAGGGTAATTCTGGGAATAAAATCACAGAGACAACTATATGACTTTTAGAATTAAAAAATAGTGCTTCTTAAATTTTAACTGATAAGGAGTAATGAGAATAAAGACTAAACAAAACAAAAATTCTGCTCACCTTGTCCTCCTAAAATTCCTGTTGATTTCACAACCATCTCAAGCTTTTTGTCCCACGTAAATGTTCGAATGTAATCTGAGGGTAGAAGGAGGCAGGCAAAATGAGCAATAAAGCTATGTTAATAAATATGGGAAAATGACAATAGCAATGACTCTCCCAACTATTTCTGCTTTTTGTTGAATGCTGGCTGATGATATGTCAAATGCTATTCTAAGGATTCTCCCCATATTAATTTGCTTATTCCTGACAACAATGAGCCAGGCCCTCCTTTGTAGATGACTTTTTAAATTTGCATTGGTACTTTGGTTCGTGCACTTAATTCTTTCCACAGTTCTGGTCACAAACCAAATCGGACAAAAACTGAATCAAATTTTCCTATAAGGTCAACATTGAACCTAACCAATGAATTTGTTTTGGTTTCCATCCAATTTAGTTTGTGACCGAGGTACATATTTTTTGTAAAGATAATGAATTAGAAATAAAGAGACAGAATAGAAAGGATTTGAGTACAAAACTATCTTTGAAATTTCCCAATGAAAGCTTGTGAAAATATTCAATATCAGGTTCAACAGAATTGTAAAGATTTTACTCTGTTTAATTATCAACCATAAGAGAGTACACCTAGTAACTTACCGATAATTCCAACTACCAGCTCATTGCTAGTATCATCTCGCCCAACCAGCAAAGAATAATCAATAATGAGGTGGCTAGAAAGGAAATGAGAGTCACTATGGATAGCAGTCCTCAGCACAGCCTTGGAATGTGAACGAATATACAGGGGGTTGTCTCGAACCATCTTTAGAAGATTTTCATCCAGCAGGACGACATCACAACTCTCTTTCCCAGTGTCAGTTTTTACATTTCGATTCCTGAGTGAGCCCTTCAAATCAAAAACCTAGTAGAAAGAGAATTCTTTGTTACTTGTGTGTGAGTTCGCACACTAGTTAACTAATGTAATTAAAAAGGCAGACTTCTTATAGTCACTACCATTATTTCATAAATTTTATAATGTCATTAAATGTTTCTTAATGTAAGTATATCATACTCAATAAATCAAGCCAAGTTAATCGACTTTTAGATGCATTGACAACTACAAAAAATTTATCATCAGATCACAAAGCATCATAAAGAAAAATGCAAATACTCTTACAAAATTAAACTTTTGATATCAAAACAGATTATAATTATGGCAATGTAGAATGAACAGCAAAATTTTAGTAATATTTAAGCAGTAGGAAAAGCAGTGAATTCAAAGGCCACAGATCTTGCATTCCAGGACCAGTAGCAGGCCTGCAATGTAGTCAGCAAACCAGGGCTGGGCACCTCTGCCCAGCTCATGATAATGGTAAGGAGCCAGTGCCAAGATGAAAATCAATCAGATCATTAAGCACACTGTTCAGTTCAGCTAATGCTTTCCTCATAAAAAGATGGATTCAGTGAAGAGAGAGAACTGAATTAGTCAGGCACTGTTTTCTCAACTCTGCACAGGCTGGGAACAACTCAAGGATCAGCACCATGAAAAGTACTATTCAAGAATAATCTAGACCACCCCAGAATCAAAAATAGGTGTGTTACTGACACACTGGGAAGGGCACTGTTCGGGAATAATCTAGACCGCCCTGGGGTCTGAAATAGCTGTGTGACTCTGATAAAGCACTTCATTTCTCTGAATCTCATTTGATTTACTTTTAAAATTGAGATAACAGCTATTATCTAGAATATATAAAGAACTCAAAACAATCAGCCCCCCCAAATATAAAGACCCAATTCAAAAATGGGCATCCAAAATGAACAGACATTTCTCAGACAAAGAAGTAAAAGCAGCAACTAAATATATGAAAAAATGTTCCACATCACTGGTCATTCAAGAGATGCAGATGAAAACAACACTGAGATTCCACATCACCCCACAAAGAATGGCTGCTATCAAGAAATCACACAATAACAAATGTTGGCGGGGTTGTGGGGAGAAAGGAACCCTTCTCCATGGTTGGTGGGAGTGCAGACTGGTGCAACCACTATGGAAATCAATATGGAGATACCTCAAAGAGCTGGGACTAGAGGTTCCATTGACCCAGCCATAGCTCTGCTGGGTATCTTTCCAAAAGAACTAAAAGAATTATATCACAGTGACATATGTGCACCTATGTTTATAGCAGCACAGTTTGTAATAGCTAAAACATGGAAACAGCACATTTGCCCATCAGTTGGAAACTGGATAAAGAAGATGTGGTTTTTCTATAAAATGGAATACTACTCAGCCATAAAGAATGAGAAATTAGAGTAAGGACCCAAGAACCCTAGAGGAGGTCTCTCCAGCTGTCTGCCTGGGACCACCCGGCAGGTGCACGACCTCCCGGACTGTGTGCCACCAGATCCAGTAAAGAAGGTAGCTGCGCGGGCGCCCTTTAAACACCCCCACAACCTGCTCCCCGCCACCCTCACCCCACCCCCGTTCTCAAACCTCCTGATTGGGCCAGTCCTTGGACCAACTCTGCAGAGGCACAGGTTCTCGTGAAGGGTAGTTTTCTGAGCTCCCAACTTTGAACATCTTTAAAGAAAGGGCAGGGGAAACCTGTAATAGAACTGAGTGGAGTTCAACCCTGTGGGTTGGGAAACTCAACTTAGGCCTTGTGGACTGAGGTCAGTCTGAGTTGTGGGGACCTGCCATTGGCTTGCCGAAATCAGGGGATTCGGTTCTGCATATGGCTGTACATGTGGTATAGTATGACAACAGAGACATAGTCTGAAAGAGGCCCTTCAAATTCTTTTTTTTCTTTCTTTCTTTTCCTCATTCCACCCTAAAATTTATTTCTTTTTTCTGTCCTCTCTCTCCAACTCAGTCTCTTGCTCCACCATATTATCCCTCATCTCCCTTTTTATTCCTGCTCCTGCCCTAACTCAGACTTCTTCTTTTATTATTTTTCCTTCCTTGGGGGGGGGTTTGTTTTGTTGTTTTGGTTTTTTGTTTTTTTTTTTACTTTATGTTCTTTTCTCCAGTCATTTTACCTCACTCGTGGCTCCGTAGCTTCAAGGGAAGGCAAGCGCCTGTTACTGTTAAGGGGATATATTCTTGTCCTTATTCCTGTACTCTGTCTATCCCCTCTGAAGTTGATAGCTTCATAAAGATAGTAAGGTCATTCCACATCCTCTGGTTTCACTTCAAACCTGCTCCAGTCTTTCACTTATCTACTCCTCTTGTCCTAGCTCAATCTAACCCCTCATGCTAAATGGTAAAGATGCTATATTGAAAAGTGTATTCACTGCAAACATATTTTGGGCTGCTTCTTGATATTAATTTAATTCACACGGTTTAAAGCTGATAGATTAATGACTACCACAAGTGGTCAGTTTGCAAGCTGTGCTTGATCCTATTGGACTGCTGAATGTATCAATTGGGATAAAGGATTGTGATTGATTTAATGAGTTGTTTTCTCTGATATTATGAAAATGAGGATGTCTATGAGTCATTAGAAACTCAAAAGCTAAAACACAACTATATCAGGAAGATTTAAATAATACCCAGAAATTAAAGAAGGACAACCCAACAACAAAAATAAAAATGAGAAAACACTTAAGCAAGACACAAAGACAGATTTCCAGTTCACCAATGCCAAAGAGTAGGACAAATGAAGATGAAAAGTCTGATAGTGAACCAGCAGGACACCCTGGACCCATAGCACAGGAGGTAACAAAACAGATCAATCAGGCTCTAGAAAAATTCAAATCAGAAATAATTTCCCAGTTAACCATAGAGATGATGAGCAAATTGGAAGTCATGATTCAAGACTCTAGAACAGAAACTGACAAAAAAATAGATGAGCTCAAGACCATGATAAAAACCATGAAGACTCGGCACAAGAAATGGAAACAATGAATGCCCAACAGAGGAAAGAAATGGAATCCATAAAACAGATTCAAACAGATATCCAGGAGATTAAAAACTCTATTGAAAGTGTACGTAACAGAATGAAAGATTGCAAAGATAGAATTTCAGATATAGAAGATAGGATCTCTGTCAGTGACCGTGAAAAAAGATGTCTCTCAAAAACAGGAAGGGATCATGAGAAATCAATTCAACAACTTCTAGACGATGCAAAGAAAAATAACATAAGACCGATAGGAATTCATGAAAAAGGAGAAAACGCAAATGACCTAAAAAAGCTCTTCACAGAATTAATGACAGAAAACTTCCCAAACAGAAGGGAAGAATTAGACATACAGATAAGTGAGGCATATAGAACTCCATCTAGTCACGATCAAAAAAAATCTACACCTAGACATATAATAATCAAGATCCCAGAAATCCAACAGAAAAACAAAATACTACAAGCAGTAAGAGAAAAGAAACAAATCACATGCAAAGGACAGCCCATTAGAATCACAGCAGACTTTTTAACACAAACCCTTAGGTCAAGGAGAGCCTGGAGTGAGGTATTCCAAGTCCTAAAAGAAAATAACCTCCAACCTAGACTGATGTATCCTGCAAAACTCTCTTTCAAAATAGATGGGGAAATAAGATACTTCCACGACAAAGAACATCTGAGAAATTTTATGAATACCAAACCAGCACTGCAAGGAATTCTAAACAATATCCTAGAAAAGGACAATAAAGGTCACAATACCATGAGGCTCAAGAGACCAAATCAAATAAGCAAGGCAAGAAACTAAAAGGAGATAGGAGAAAAAGTAAAAAGAGTCAACAAAAGGACAATAACATGGCAATAATAAGTCAGAATATATCAGTTATAACCATCAATGTTAATGGCCTCAATTTACCAATCAAGAGAAATTGACTGGCAGAATGGATTAAGAAACAAAATCCAACAATATATACAAGAAACACACCTAGTGCAAAAGGAAGCCCATAGACTGAAGGTGAAAGGATGGAAAACAATTCTCCATGTGTTAGGAGCCCAGAAAAAAGCAGGGGTAGCAATCTTATTCTCAGATAAAGTAAATTTCAAACCAAAACTCATTAAGAGAGACAAAGAAGGACACTACATCCTTGTAAAGGGAACAATTCAAGAGGAAGAGCTGACAATCATAAACATATATGCACCAAATATAAAGGCCCCAACTATATAAAACAAATATTAAGTAACATGAAAAACTATTAATAAGCACTAATACAATTTCAGTGGGGGATTTAAATACCCCACTATCACAAATTGACAGATTATCTAGGCAGAAAATCAACAATGAAATACTAGAACTGAACCAAGCTTTGGAACACATGGACTTAATAGATGTTTAAAGAGCATTCCACCCCACAAAATCAGAATATACATTCTTTTCGGCTGCACATGGATCATTTTCCAAGATAGACCACATAATGGAACACATGGACTTAATAGATGTTTAAAGAGCATTCCACCCCACAAAATCAGAATATACATTCTTTTCGGCTGCACATGGATCATTTTCCAAGATAGATCACATATTGGCTCACAGAACAGGTCTGAATAAATGCAAAAGAATTGAAGTCATCCCCTGTATATTATCAGATCATAGTGCAATCAAGCTGGAGATCAACAGCACAAGAAACTGTAGGAATTTCACAAGCACACAGAAACTGAACAACACTCTCCTAAACAATCAATGGATTACAGAGGAAATTAAAGAAGAGATTAGACAGTTTTTACAAATAAATGAAAATGCCAATACAACATACAGGAATCTATGGGACACAATGAAAGCAGTTCTATGAGGAAAATTCATAACATTGAATACGGACACTAGGAAAACACAGCGGGCTCAAATAAACAACTTAACGATGAAACTTAGACTCCTAGAAAAACAAGAGCAAGATAAACCCAAAGCTCGAACAAGAGAGGAAATTATAAAGATCCAAGCAGAAATCAATGCAACTGAAACTAAGAAAACAATACAAAAAATAAATGAAACAAAGAGCTGGTTTTTTGAAAGAATAAATAAAATCGACAAACCCCATAGCTAATCTTATCAAAAAAAGGAAAGGCTCAGATACATGCAATCAGGAATGAAAAAGGCGAAGTCACAACAGATCCAAAAGAAATCCAGAAGATCATGAATACCTATTTTGAGAACCTGTACTCCAATAAAATGGAAACACAGAAGAAATGGACCGATTTTTAGATACTTACGAATTACCAAAGTTGAACAAAAAAGATAAAAATATTTTAAACACCCCAATTATAGTCAGTGAAATTGAAAATGTAATTAAAAATTTACCAACAAAGAAAAGCCCAGGCCCTGATGGATTCACTGCTGAATTTTACAAGACATTTAGATAAGAACTACTGCCACTACTCTTCAAACTTTTCAATGAAATTGAAAGGGAAGCTATGCTTCCAAATTCATTCCTGGAAGCAAGTATCACTTTGATTCCCAAACCAGGGAATGATGTAACTAAAAAGGAGAACTACAGACCAATCTCCTTAATGCATATAGATGCAAAAATCCTTAATAAGATACTAGCAAACAGAATACAGAGGATTATCAAGAAGATCATCCATCCCTACCAAGTCGGATTTATTCCAGAGATGCAAGGGTGGTTCAACATACAAAAGTCAATAAATGTAATACATTATATTAACAAAATCAAGGACAAAAACCAATGACCCTCTCAATCGATGCAGAAAAAGCATTTGATAAAATTCAACACCCATTCATGATAAAAACCCTGCAAAAAATTGGAATAGATGGTCTACACCTCAACTTAATAAAGGGTATCTATGAAAAACCAACAGCCAACATCATATTAAATGGCCAAACACTGAATACCTTCATGTTAAAATCAGGAACAAGACAAGGATGCCCATTATCACCACTCCTCTTCAATATAGTTCTGGAAACATTAGCCACAGCAATTAGATAAGAGAAAGAAATTAAAGCAATAAAGATAGTAAAGGAAGAAGTTAAACTGTCATTATTTGCTGATGATATGATATTCTACATTGAAGACCCAAAAAACTCCACCAAAAGACTTCTAGACTTAATTGACAGATTCAATAGAGTATCTGGATATAAGGTGAACACCCAAAAATCAATAGCCTTCTTATACACAAATAACAGATTCACTGAGAGAGAAATAAGGGAAACAATTCCTTTTACAATAGCATCCCAAAAAATGAAGTATCTAGGAATCAACCTAACAAAAGAAGCAAAAGATCTCTACACTGAAAACTACAGCACTCTGAAAAAAGAAAGTGAAGAGGATATAAAAAAATGGAAAGATATCCCCTGCTCCTGGGTAGGAAGAATCAACATAGTGAAAATGGCCATACTACCAAAACTTCTATATAGATTCAATGCAATGCCAATTGAAATTCCACCCCTATATTTCACAGAACTAGAAAAAAGAATCCAAAAATTCATTTGGAACCATAAGAGACCTAGAATAGCAAAAGCCATTTTAGGCAACAGACACATGGCACCAGGTATAACAATTCCTAATTTGAAACTATACTGCAAAGCCACTGTGATAAAAACAACATGGTACTGGCAAAGAAACAGGCCTGAGGATCAGTGGAACAGATTGGAAGACACAAAAACAAACACAGATGTACTCAGCTACCTCATCTTTGATAAAGGAGCTGACCATCCTCAGTGGAGGAAAGATAGCCTCTTTAATAAATGGTGTTGGAAAAACTGGATGTCAACCTGTCACAGATTAAAACTAGACCCTTATCTTTCACCATGCACTAAATTAAAATCCAAATGGATTAAAGATTTAAATATTAAAACAGAAATATTAAACTTGCTGGAAGGTAAGTTAGGCAGAACTCTTTAAGACATTGGCATAGGAAAAGACTTTATGAACAAATCCTCAGTAGCATGGGAACTAGCAGATAGAATCAACAACTGGGATCTCATCTTACTAAAAAGCTTCTGTACTTCAAAAGAAACCATCAGCAGAACTGAGACAATCTAAAATGTGGGAAAAAATTTTTAACAGCTGTTCCTCAGACAAAGGACTATTATCAAAAATATATAAAGAACTCAAAACAATTAGCCCCCGCAAATATAAAGACCCTATTCAAAAATGGGCATCCGAAATGAACAGACATTTTTCAGACAAAGAAGTAAAAGCAGTAAGTAAATATATTAAAAAAAAAATGTTCCACATCACTGGTCATTCCAGAGATGCAGATGAAAACAACACTGAATTCCACTCACCCCACAAAGAATGGCTGCTATCAAGAAATCAACCAATAACAAATGTTGGCGGGGTTGTGGGGAGAAAGGAAGCCTTCTCCATTGTTGGTGGGGGTGCAGACTCGTGCAACCACTATGGAAATCAATATGGAGATACCTCAAAGATCTTGGACTGGAGGTTCCATTTGACCCAGCCATCCCTCTGCTGGGTATCTTTCCAAAAGAATTAAAAGAATCATATCACAGAGAAGTATGTGCACCCATGTTTATAGCGGCACAGTTTGTAATAGCTAAAACTTGGAAACAGCCCATTTGCCCATC